AAAGTTATGAGCACAACTATTTTTATATATAGAAGTTTTAAGAGGTAAATAAACCAGGTCAGGTTTGTATATGTAAAATTGTTGACATCAGTGATGTCTTTCCATATTCTTTATCTGGGCTAAAGAAATACATTCTGTATTTTTCCAGATTTCTTTGTAGCCTTTGGAAGATTTTTACAGTACTTATGTCTTGATTGAACTGTCCTTTCTTAAAACGAAAGCTTGTATAATTTTCTTAACTTGTACAGTTGGTTAACTTTTATGAGAGAATTGATATCCTGAGTCTAATGTCGGCTTCATTTTATTTTGCTGAAGTCTTTTCTAAAAAAAAAAAAAACCCAACAAAAAAAACCCCAAACCAAATCAATTGACTTAAAAAAAAAAATGCTCATTAGTCATCAACGTGTTATTTTCTTCTCAGAAGACAGCAAACAGTTAACATCAAGAACGGTTAGAAGTAATTTGGTTTTGAAAACATGATTTTTCTTACATCTGTTTTAGGGCAAATAGCGACGCAAAAAATTTGTTAAGCACGACGATGCTTGCGTTGCACAAATTTTCTCGCTTTCATTATACGTTTGGTTTTTTTTTTGTTTTTCATTTTATTTTGGGCTGGGATAAATTTCACGTCAGCCAAACGCTTCAGTTTACTGAACCTCGTTGGCCAAGATCAGGTGGTAGATTATCCACTGATTCCTTTTCAGTCTCTCTCTCATCTTCCTCGTTTCACTGAGCGCAGGGAAGGTGGGAAATGGGTTCGCGGAGCTGTCCCGGACGCGCGGCTGATAACCTGGTTTCTGATAACGAGCGGATCTGATGCGGACGGGACTTTCAGTGGGAGCAGAAACATCACAGACGCGTATTCGGTGCCGCGTATACACAGGTACACGTTCAGTCTGTAGAGAGTCGCAAGCGCGAGCAGGTGCGGAGAACTATTTTAAGATTAACGTCGAGAAAGGAAAATTCTTTAGAAACGCGTGTGAGGGGGTGATGCTCGCCGTCCCGCCGGGCGTCATTTGAAAGTTGCTGAAGTTGGGTTTGCATCTGTGAAACAGATTTTTAACACCGGTGTTTTGGGTTTTTTTTTTTTTTAATTATTCTTATTTTTTTTTAAGCCACAGCCACGCATCTACTGTATTAAAAATAGGAAAAATTGTTCGTTTGTATAATTTATAACCTTATCTCCTCCTCCTGTGGCTTACAGGTGTGTTGATAATTTTCAGTTGGTTATTTTTACGGCCAAGTTTCTGACTCTTCACGATTCCAGTTTTCACTGTACAGTCCTATGGTTTGAAACTAATGTACCCACCTCAAAAAGCGACTGCGAAGGGTTTTTTTTGGTTTGTTTCCTTTGTCAACTACGTGTACTTGGACTTTATGGTCGTTAATGAGCCAAATCCTCCGGATCCGGCCTGGCTCCATCACCGTGATGAGTTGCCGGAGTGCATTAACCTGCTGTTCCCGGGAATCCGTTCTAACTGGTTCAGCTGACGTCTGCCCACGATTAGACGGCGCTTTACGTGGAGGGGCACATCAGTAAGGTTTGCTAACGTGTGGCCTGCCGTAATCAACCCATCCATTGCTTTAGTAAGAGGTTGCTGTTAATTTTACACCCTGGTTTATTAACGGGAACCCACAGTGTCGCAGCTTTTCGTCAAAGCTGCTCTTGAGACGGTTTCAGACTTGAGGGGTGGTGCGGCGCTTTCACGAGTCTATTTTCAGTTTTATTTTTGTGCGGTTTTGTTTGCGAGTTTGGAAATAACTTCCAAAAATTTATAGGAAAGTTCATAAGTAAATTGTCTCAGGCTTGTGTGTGAAATACAGCACTGTGTATATTTTCAGGAATGTTGCTTTTGGGTTTTATCTTACTTTTTTTTTTTTTTTTGGTGATACGTAGAAGAGACCTGACATTCCATAATCAACAAATATGTAATGCTCAGCTAGACTTTAAGAATATTTAATTATAATTTACGTTCTGTTTATGCTGGTGTTTTATACGATACTTTGTTCATGTTCTTCAAAACGCAGCCACTATAACGTGATAAGTCATTGCACTACTAAAGCTATTTAAAAATTCTAGAAATAGAGTAACTTTGATTTCATTTAAAAAGCCTTCAGTACAGTTTGGAGCCCGGAAGTGTTTGAACGCGTTTCCAAACGGCGTCGAAAAGATCCCAGCTTACGCGTAGCGCTCGGGCGCGTTTTTCAAGCGCAGTGGTGACGGGCTGAGCCGGAGCGGGTGTCCTGCGTTCATGAAGTGCTTTAAGACTACAGCCTGAGCGGGTAAATCCTCCCTGGGCTTTCTGAAGGATTAAACGTGGTATTAAAAAAAAAACAACCCCAAACCAAACAACAAAACAGCTACACACACACACACACACACAGACACAAAATTTACAAATTAGTTTTATACATTTTTTTTTTTTTCCTCACACATAGTAATTTTGCACTGGTAGCAATTCTCGCTCCCTCTCCGCAATTTTGAAAAACACTTATTAAAATATTTTTTTAAACATACCGTCTGCATAAAAATTCCTGAGTTTCTTGATGAAAACAGGGGGTAGAGTATTTGCTGCTTCCGGCACCCGTTGGAGCAGCGTGGTGTCGACTCTCGTACTGCCGCGTGGGGAAACCGCGCAAACAAAAATCCCCTTTTTCTTAAACTTTGAACCGTTTCTTTCGTTTCCCCTCTCAAAACAAGTGGCTCTCGGTGGTGCTGCCATGGAGGCTGGACAGGAGGAGGAGAGGGCGGTGGGTTAGCTGGGGGTTCGCTTTTATTTCTTAAATCAAAGCCGCAGCGCGGATTTATTGATGGGGAGAAGTGGGAGCCGGCGCTGGGCAGAAAGGAAGAGCAGTGCGAGGAGGAGGGAGAGGAGGAGGAGGAGGAGGAGGAGGAGGAGGAGGAAGGAAGGTCATTGGTTTATTCGAAGCCAGTACAAAAATACAGAGGCACGTAAAACCCTTTTTGCTCTCACCGCTGACTGACCTGGAAAGCCTGCCGTACATTCAAATAAAAAGGTCGCCCTTTTCATCGCTAAAACAGTCACTTTGTAAATAGAGTCTATATAGAAAAAAATTTTAGTCAATTAATAGCATAGAAAATATTGTTGTAGGAACTCTATTCGCTTTCCCAGTGTATACAATACCCTCCAGACTCTGGCACCGATGGGTGCCCAGTTACAAACAAAATAAGCTTTAAAAATATTTTTACCGTTTGGACAACAAATCTAACCAGTAGATTCAAAAACAAACGAGGAAAAAACAAATAATAATCAAAACTTTTCGACAGAATCGACGTCCTGAATCAAATTCGACAGAATCGACGTCCTGAATAGGAGCGCCGCAGCACAGCGAAGTTACGAGCGAAGGTGACACGAATTGCAAATATTTCCGTGGAAGCGCGAGAGGAGTGCCCAGACGGGCGCCGCAGGGACCAGGACGGGGTCCCAGCACCCCCCGGCAACTGGGAACCAGCGTGGGGACCAGTAAGCCCGGCTGGAGCCGATGGGGGAGTAGCTCTGGCTCTTCGGCACAGCGGGCAGCGTTTCTCAGCTATCCCTACAAAAAGAAGAGCTCTGCAGCCCACTGCAAATTTGAGGTTTCACCGATATTTAGGGAGCGATAAAAATGATGGGGGAATTTGCTTTATTTTCTCCCAATTCTGCGCTCCGAGGGGGGAGCCCCAGTGAAGGACTGGTCCCCGCTGCGGGATGCTCCGGCGCAGCCCCCTGTGCTGTCACGTGCCGTATAAATAAAGAGTGATGCCACCGATCCCCCCACTGCCCCCCGAAAGACGGCGGAAGGACTCCAGGGGTGTTTTTTTACAGAAAAATTCTCCGTCACATATAAAAACTTCAACGTTAAAGACTTCCATAACCGCAGCTTCGCCAAACAACAGCAGTTAGGTTTTGAATGAAGATCTTCCAGAAATGAATTCTGTTGGCTATAGGAGCTATTTTCCCGCATACCAAAAGAACGTATACAAAACCCCCTCAATATATAGTTTTACCATTTTTTTTTTTTTTAACCAAAATTATAAACAATTCTTTTTAAGCCAAAAGACGATGCAAGGAGACACCTAGAAAGAAGTGCTGTGTAAGACAACATTTAAAAATCAGTTAACGCTGCCCGACGGATTAAAAAAAACCCCGTTCTTTTAGCGGGTCACAAACCGAAGATGACTCGGAACTGCGGGAGAGGGCTTGGCTTGCGACGAGCCACCCCCTCCCCCGGCGTGCCAGCGGCTTGCCGAAACACTGGCATTCAGCCTGTC